GGGCGACAGACGCGCGCGCGCGTGCCGAGTAAAAGCGTATACGGTGAGATCTTAACGTGCCTTTTCATGCTGACACTTAATGCTCATTTTTAGTCTCAAAATTGATCACATAATCAAAATTGACGATTCATAGTCGTCGATTTTGATCACGTGACCTATTTTGACGCTAAAAATGAGCGTCGATCGTCAGCATGAAAAGGCACCTTTATGGTAGTTTTGCAATTATCAGCCCATCACCATGTGGCGCTCACCTAACAGTTTTAGTTCCAATATTTCTCACTATTGCGCTCTGCACTGGCCTTTTTACTTATATAACGGCCGGTAGCGGCTTATCGTCCATATTAACATCTATGCTGTATCCAACTATATCACGATATAAAGAATTGAGTCGGAAAACCAATCAAGGGAAAACCAGAACAAGAAAAAGATATAAAGAATCTTTATATTCTGGTACTCGGATGATAAATATGTAATTATCTGATTTGCTCTCCCATAATTCTAATACTTGTGTCAACGTGACAGTTTTTTCGTTGAAGTATTATTATTATTTATTTTATTATATAAAATAAAATATTCTAGTATGGACATAAGAAATTTTTTTAAAAAGCCGAGGTTAGAGACAACTGACCAGTTTCCTTCTCCTTCAGTTTCCTCTTCCTCGAGCATCGCCACTAGCAGACCTAGCAGTACCGCCAGTAACAGTACCCTTACTTCAGTCTCTTCTGCTACTTCTAGTATTGGGCTTTCATTTACAAGCGAAAACTTTCAGAAGTTTGATATTGGGCGATATATCGGCGCAATCTCAAAGCTGTCCTTTGATGAAAAATGTGAAATTTTTATAAATACATGGTTTCCGGAGAAAAGCTATAACTTTAAAAAACAAGGTAAAAAAAGGAGTTTTCGATATGAATGGCTACAGATATATTCCCCTTGGTTAGCATATTCTGAAGTTATCAACGGTGCTCTTTGTAAATTTTGTGTGCTCTTCAAGCCAATGGTCCATAGAGGATTTCAAAATTCTTTTATCTTGAAAGAGAGGGTTTGATAAATATAAAGATTTTAATGAAGCAGCACGAAATCATGTTCAGATCGAGTGGCATAAACAAGCTCTTTCAGAGGGAACCAGTTTATTAGCCATTAAAAAAAACAAGAAACAAAGCATTGTTAATATAATTTCTCATTCCAGATTAGAGTTGATTACAAAGAATCGTGAAAAGTTAGGTTCAATTATACGAACAATAATTTTCTGCGGAACTCATGATTTGGCTCTTCGTGGCAAAAATTCATCTGAAGATAATTTCAAAGATCTTTTAAACTTTCGGGTGCAAGCTGGTGATTTGATTTTGAAACATCATTTGGAAGAAGGCGCACAGAATGCACAATACACATCTGTTAGAATTGAGCATGAGATAATTGGAATTTGTGAAAGCATAATAGCAAATGACATTGTTTCAAAAGCTAACAATTCCAAATGCTTCTCAATTTTAGCAGATGAGACCTGTGATATTGCTGGGGTAGAACAACTTTCTTTAGGCGTCAGATTTGCGCATTTTGAAGATGGCAAATTAACTATACAAGAAGAGTTCCTTGGCTTTGTTGAACTTAAAAAATTTGATGCTCAGTCTATTTCCGATGCTATTTTGTCGAAGTGCGAAAGCTTAAAGTTGAATATGGCATATTGTGTAGGTCAGGGTTATGATGGATGCTCTGTAATGTCGGGAAAAGAGAATGGTGTGAAAAGTATAATACAACGTAAGTATCCAAACATTCATTATGTTCATTGCTCGTCACACAGATTGAACTTGGTTGTCCATGATTTAAATAAATTGAGTGATGTCAGGAATACTATAGGTACTATAAAAGAAATAATTAACTTTTTCAGGGAAAGTAATATTCGAAGACAATTAGTTCCTTCAATCTCTATGCTTTGCGAAACTCGTTGGACCGAGAACCACAAAACTATTCGCTTGTTTAAAAAGCATTTTGAAACTATATTAGAAAAATTATACGAAATGTCTGAAGGATTCACAAGTGGTAAGCAAAAAGCGTATTATTTATATTGTGCCGCAACAAAACCGATATTTCTGATGTGCTTATTTATAATATCAAAATATTCTGAAATATTAGAACCAATTACCGTGCTACTACAAAATAAACAAATAAATTTACTTGAATGTCAAAATCATATAAAACGTTTAATCAGTATTTTTAACGATGAACGGAACGAATTTGACGATATTTTCATGAAATGCCAAAAGTTCAGTGCTACGATTGGTATTGAGATTCCGCGAACTGTCGCAAAACAAAGTAAAAGAGCAAACTATTCTACAGAAGATCCCAAAGAATACTTCAAACTAAGCTTATTTTTTCCGTATATAGATTCGCTTATAAGTTCTTTGAGTATTAGATTTTCTGAAGAAAATACAAATATTTTCAACTATTTTCGTTTGTATCCTTCTACTTTCAAAACCATGACCCGTGAGCAATGTAATCAGTTGTTGTTGGAGATTGATAGGAGTGGTGACTTACTTAATGAGGGTATTGTATGGCACAAAATAGTACAGGACATTAATATATCTACACTTGACGATATGCTTTACTTATTGGTTACTGCTGCCAAATTTGTACCTAAAATTCAAGCCGTGCTTCTTAAATCACTATCGTTGCCCGTTACAACAGCAACAATAAAAAGATCTTTCAGTACTTTACGGCGAGTTAAGACATAGTTACGCTCAACAATGTCTGAATCCAGACTTAGTGGCCTTTGCATGTTGAGTATTCACAGGCAAAAAATTGCAAATGATGAAAACTTTATCACTCAAGTTATAGATAAATTTGGGCAAAATGAAAGAAAGTTAGTTTTTCTTTTTGATAAATAATTAATAATCAATAATAATAAATACCAAAAAGACAAAAATACCAAAACAAATTTTTTAAATACAAAAATACAAAAAATAAAAAAAAATAAAAAAAATAAAAAAACAAAAAACAAAATAACTTCCTCAACTTACACCTACCTTGTCGCGGTGAGGAAGCTTTTAACTAAAAGGTGTATGATTTGTAATTATATGTATACGTATAATAATTATTAATATTATTATTATTATATTTTGAAACGTGCCCCCCTTAGAAAAAATCCTGTGGACGCCCTTGGCTACGAAGTTTACCAGATGATAGCCAAACGTAGAGTCCACTTCGATATCGTCAATATCACGGTTCTTTAATTTCTTGGCCGATGCACTAACATTTAAATCGTCGAGCTTTTCTACTTCGTGCCGATTCAACGGTCGTCTACGTGACGCTTTTGGTCTATTATCGTACGCAGTATCAACTTTCGATCCTTTCTTGTAACGACCAACATTTTTATCACTCATGATAAATTATTACTGATTTCCACGAACTATTATTCGAATATTAGAAAACGTATACACGAGAAAGAAAAGCGTCGTGAAAAGAGCGTCCTTTTCAACGGTCGACTTTCGGTTTACTAACGCTTCACACATTTTCTACACATATATTGTTACGTAATTTTATTGAGATTTTCTCCGTATTTTGAGTCAATGCATTAAAGCAATTTACTCGGGGATCGGAGATTAGGTTATGCGGTTAATAATGTTCACTGGGAAGTATTGGATAATTTTTGGGAAGGGTAATTTTGAATCCGGTGCCAAAAAGGTTACGGAGCTTATAGGTAAATCTACGTGGATCGGTTTTTCGGATGTTCTTATAATTTGGGAACGTAAGATTGATCTTTAATCGGTTGAGAGTATATACGCATTCGCGGGGTGAATCTACTGGTTAGCTTTGATTTAATAATTGCGCTAGTTTTTCGAAATATGGGAAAGGATCGTGATTTGAAATGAGAGCTG